AATAATATAATGATGCTGCCATCTTTCTAAAGCCATTTTACCCTCCTGTATTTTGGCTCCAAATCTCAGGTGAACATTTTTATTTTGACCACCCTCTACACAATAGTGAATTACTTAGTAAACATACATCCATGAGATTTAATATTTTGGCTTTCTTCACTATTTATTTTAGTCTTTCTTGTTAACAAATGCAAAAATTTTAGTCTGGGAAGTTTCTGAAATTTGGTTGATTTGACACAGAATAACCCAACAGCATGTTTGAGAGCTGATAAAACACTTCTGTAAAAAAGATTACATTTTCCACAATCCAAAACCAACAAAAAATATTTATTGTTGTGATACTCGCATCTCCGCCAAATGACAACAGTTACACAAATGCGGTTCGAATAAACAAACAGGCCTGTTGTGGTATCAACCAGCAGCTGGCAGAGATCTGCCATGATGATGCCAGTCACAAGTGTTGGTCATTAACAAGTACAAGAGAGAATGAACCAAACGGGTGACTGATTACAAACCAAGCACAAATTTGCATGGCTAAAAGATCCATGATATGCAATCAAAAAAATAATGTAAATAATTATAATAATAATAATTAGAGGTCGACCGATATTGGTTTTTTGACAGCCGATGCCGATATCTTGGCAAGCAGGTTGGCCGATGGCTGATATAAAGCCGATATAATTTTATTTATTTTAATTAATATTTAAGAAATTAAAAAATAATTTGAAAATGGATTAAAAAATAAATGTGTTAAATAAACATACGTATACTTTAGATGACAAAGTATTTTTCATAAATAAATATTTAATAAAAAATATAATAAAAAAAAGGAAGTAAACACTGTAACCAACAGGGCAATCAGTATTCTGGGAAGTTTGTGTGCATTGGCAATTATATTTTTTCAAATAAAGCTAAGGTAACACTAATTTTACATAGAGCACACTTGTTTGTTTAACCGTTTTATCTGATTATTAGACAGATTTCTGACCGTATTAGACAGAACTGTTAACGACGACAGTGAACAAGAGGGAGAACGTGAGCACTGTGTGCTCAGGAGCTGCTGCTCTCAGCGCCGTCAAAATAAAAGCCTCGAAAGCATCGGCCAAACAGGAAAAGTTATCAGCCGATGCGATATTTTTAAAATGCCAAATATCGGCCGATATATCGGTCGACCACTAATAAAAATCTTCTCCCGCTCTCAGCGCCGTCAAAATAAAAGCCTCGAAAGCATCGGCCAAACAGGAAAAGTTATCGGCCGATGCGATATTTTTAAAATGCCAAATATCGGCCGATATATCGGTCGACCACTAATAAAAATCTTCTCCAATGCACACAAACCAAAAGTTTCTGTGATATTCTGGTCTGTAGATATGATTTGAGTTTGTGGACTGCCTATTTTAAGATTTTGAGGAATCATTCATGTTTGGCGTATAAACGTATTTGATGAAGTTTCATACTCCACATCAATGGTTTCTATAAATCACTATAAGCATTAATAATAGCGACTATTGCCTTAGGAAAGGCCATTTTTGATGGGCTCCATTAGATGTTAAATGAGTTGCCAGTAAACATGAAGAGCAGATGGCCTCTACTAATCCATTTAATTTGGAGTCCATCTCATCTCTTCTGGTTAAACATGAAATATCCTTGTAATATCACACAATGAGGTCGATAACAGCGATAAACCGTTGTCTTGGCATACTTTGGGCCTGATTGCCACGTCTCAAGATATTATTTTCCTATCCGACGGATTAGATGCACAGCTAAGATTCATATGTTTGTTGTCTCACAACCCTGTCCTATTCAATCAGATTGGTATTACAGTACACTGAAACACGTTTCCATATCCGACACACTAAAACAATGCAAATAACCCATCAAAACGCCAACTAACTTGGTGCACATTAAACAAAGAGTTCCTGCTCGATGTGAGGGTAGCGAGCAGCTGTCCACCTGTCCTGACAGATGTTATTTTCAAGAGAGGACTCCAAAATGAGCTTTAATTTCCTGTCATTATGTTATGAATGCATTCAGAAGTGCAACGCAAGATAAACATCCGTCTGCAGTCACTGTGCCATCTAAACCCAGCGATGGGAAGACAAACTTCTCGTTTCTCCCAGAGGAAAGTAAGGAAACAACGAGGAAACTTAAACATGCCAATAACAATGAAAATGTACAACTTTCTTAATCTAGTCAAGCCAAGGCACCTTTATATACAGCATTTTACACAATACAGATGACTGTTTTAATAAACAGTAACAATGTTAATGTTGCATCAATCATGTTGCATCAATTTTAAAGCGCTTTCAAATTTCAGCTACAAAGCATCTCTACAGACGACAACAGTGTAGTGCCCTATGAAATCCATTTTATTTTTTCCCAAATTCATTTTTTTCCGTTTTAATTTTTCTGGACTCCTTTCTATGGGTAGGCGTAAATTAAATTTCATTAATCAAAAAGCATGTCTAACTAATTCAAATCATGAAACTTATTTAACATCAATTTATTACAACACTGAAACCACTGCAAGCGTCACGCGCGCTTCAGTATGTGTAGTAAATGAAACCACACGTCTGCTTAATATTTACTAGTCCATATCACGATTTGATTAAAGTGAAATGACCTACTTTTAATTACTTCATCCAAACTTTGACAAATTCCGTGACATTCCGCGTTATATACAGTCAATTCCATTCTTATGACTGGATTCTGTAATACCGTCCGCGTTTTCTGCATTGCAGAAATCATAGGGCCCTAACAGTGTCATTGTTTAGATTCAGAATTGAGATTCATTGTTGATTCAGTTCAGTTCAATGAGTGTCAACGTTGTCAATTGTTGCCTACAACAAGAGTCTATTAAGAGACTATTTAAAATGCACACTAACTAATACCATAGTCTTTCACCTTGTCAATATTCTCACCTCACTTCACCACAATGCGGCAGTGGCATCTTTGTAGTTTGTTTAACTTCTACCAAATGACAGATCAATTAGCGCTGTAGAGTTTGATTGGATGAACGGCCTTTGAGGTCAACAACAACAGATCTGGGATTCAATAAGTCAATTTATGCATGCATGACTAGACGGTTAGCTGCTGTGTGTTATTTGCATTTAATGTCGGCATTAAATCAAAATGCATCCAATCTATTTTCTAAATGCATGTTGATCTTAGTGTGAACATCTCTCTTGTGCATAAGCATATATTTAACTATTTTTAAATGCAATGCTCATTTCTTAAAATCCAATCAACAACCGATAGATTGAACCCAGCCCTACATTTTTTTTTTCAAAATTCCATTTCACTCGGATGCAGTACAGAACAAAATATCTTTTTTGTCGCTACTTCCGTTTCATCACAACTTTAACAATGCATTTTTCCCACCATCTACAACCAAATCACTTTTGGGGAAAATAAACACTGATAGTTCACATATGGTTGTCTCTATGCATTAGGCCTAAACTAGACTAGGAGAAACTATTTTAGTAGCACACTTCACCTTGAAGAACAATGCACTTCTGAGTCTACAAAGTATAAAGGCTTTCCAGGTGGTTTCATCCTTAGAGACTGGGATGCAATTTCGTTCGGCAGCATGAAAGAACTGAACATCAGAAGGATTTTCTCCTGTCCGTGTCCCTCACGTATTACTGATATGGCTATAAAGAAAATGGCTTTATTAACCTTGACACAAGGACTTGGCTGTGTAACTTGTCTAATCAAACGTGCAATTACCTGACCACAATCTGATACACGCTGGCCGTTCAGAAGACAGAGAAAACACTCATACTGAAGTCCTCCGAGTGACACACACAGCATAAAGATGCTTGCACTAAATTCTAAACTGTTAACAAAGATATTAAAGCACTTATGATTTCTTTGTTTAGAGCAGAATTAAGAGTGATCACTCATTATTAACTTTAAAGCAGCACAGGCTGTTCATTCCCTTGCAAAAAAGTACAATGGCATCAGATATGGTATTTTAATATACACTATGCTACTGAATGTCACATTCATATGCCATGGAATTTACAAGGTGAATATGATGAAAAACAAAAACAAACATGTTAGTGTTGTTAGTGTTATCTGTGGTTTCCACAAAAGAAAAGGACAAAAAATGTGATCGACCAAAGCCTACAGTACAGATTATACTTAAAAATATATACTTAAATATCGTTGTAAATAAAGTATCATTACATAGCAAGATATTTGTCACTCAAGCATCACAACCGCAACTAAACAGTAAACATAATAATTAAAACACTCACATTTCAATATGTCTACCATATAAACGGCATGTTATTGTGGTATAGTTTCAGATGACCAAACTCTTAATTCTGCCTTGCAAAGACTAATGGATTGGAAACATGTGCTATGGATAATCACTATAATAGAAAATGTGACAATAGCACTGGACTGCTGATCCAAAAGAACATGCAAGAGCCCTCTAGTGGATATCTGACAGCCTGTGTTTAATATCAACTTTATCTTGACTGCCTTTGTGTTATTTAAAGCACAGTCCCTGGGCTACATTTGAACCTGATAACTCCAGAGATACAGGAAAATCCCATAATAAATACAATAAAGATGCAAAATGACAAAATGCATGTGTCATGAGTCTGTGAGTTCTCAGTATTGTTTCATGGACACACACACACACACACACACACACACACACACACAACAGTGAGAACTGATTTTTCACAAACCTCCAAAACAGAAGGACTTTCTCAATACTCAGTGAGCTGTCAAGCACGCATCATATTTAGGCATCATTTGCGTTGATAACAAGTAACGCGCCCAAAGCTGCTGCACGCGACTGTGACGCCTAGGTAGGCAGCTCATTAGGTCACAATCCAAGGGTTTACATTACTAAACCTGACACATCTTTACTAAACTAAAAGAAACTCACCGCAGCTATTGCTACAAAAATCGCAACACAATAAGTAACAACCACAGACTGTCTTGCCTGGTAGTGGGCTACTTTTCAAAAAAGTGAGCCTTACCTTCAGCATTCAGAGTAAAAGAAACTCCCATAACGTCAGTCTCATTCCTTTAAAATGCAGAGCCAGTGAATGATCCTATTCCACACAGAAACACTGATGCTCTCAGAGCAGCTGGTGTCTTCACCCTCCACTCACTCAAGCCAAATACTGGCGTTTGGTCGCATCACATGAAGCCGGTCTGTGGCTCCGCCCACCGCGGCAGGTGATTGGTTGAGCTGTTGCCAAACTCCACCCACGCACTTGTTCACAGGGAGGGCAGGAATATACACTATATATGCAGTGATAAATAGACTTTTCACCAAAGGTATTTCTGAAAACTTCATAGTTGTCACATCAGGTCATTTAGGTTGAGATTGTTTGGTCTTCGGGTATTTAAGGTTGAAATATTCTTGGATATCAGCTGAAAAACAACTATGATCTGAAGCTGGAGTAATAGTGGCCCCAACTGGAAGACTGAAGAAAAGCTTTTTTACAGGACATCAAAAAATGACTTTTTTGTCTTAAATACAAATTAGGATTTTGAAATGAACCACATTGAGTGTGCTTGAATTACATGTTTAAACTATTTGGTGAAGTTAACTTATTGACAGTTTTTTTTATTATTATATTTTCTAATATATACACACACACACATATATATATATATATATGCATGTATGTGTGTGTGTATATATATATATATATATATATATATATATATATATAATTAGAAAATGTAATGTTGTTTAAAAAAACTGTCAACTGTCAACATTACACTGGCCACTGGTTCATGTGTACCTACGCAATACTTATTAATAATAATAATAATTAAGAAAAGAAATAATGATATTTAGGTATTTATGAAAATATATATTCTGCTTGGATGTTATGTTATTTGCTTTTCTATTGTGCTGCTTTGTCAATTGGAATTTCCAAAGAGGGATCAATAATTCTTCCTTTTCTTTTTATCATTATAATAATAATAATTATTATTATTATTATTATTATTTAACAACCACAGAACAACATTAAGTCGCTTTGGATAAAAGCATCTGCTAAATGACTAAATGCAATGTAAAATTATTCAAACTAATAAAAATAATATTTAATTATTATAATAATTCAAAATAATATTCAAAATGTATCAGAGCATAATAAAAATAAAATAAAGACAGTTCCACTTATCTATCAGTATTATGCTTAGTAATAATATATACGCTTTATTAACATTGTACTTCTAAACAAAACACTTATTGACTACAATATTGTTTAAAATATTTTATGAAAATGATGAACTAATAAACTACTTTTTTTTCCTTTTTTTTTTATTAAGTACAAAATCTGAATACAACAAACTGGCATTAATTAGTATACAAAAAAGATTCTGGTATGGAAGGCTCAACACAATAGAATCATAACAAAACATTCCAAGAAACATAAAATATAAAATAAAAATAAATTAAATTAAAAATACATAATTACAACAAATTATATAACACAAACAAATCAAGTAGTTTTACTGCTTTTGGATTTTTCATTTTACTAAGGGCATCTGAGAAGTATTTTAGATCAATTTTAAATACAATAAGCAAAGGAGGAGATTTAAAATATCTACATTTATGTATAAAATATTTTGCTAATAATATAATATTATTAATCAAATCGTACAAAGCAGAGCACACTTTGGTTATTCCATATATTACATCTTGTACGGTTAGAGTGAAACCATCAGCAATCACACCCTTCTCTACCGTCCAGTCCTGCGATGCTTTCCAAAAAATCTGCGACAAACTACATGTAAAAAATACATGTTCTGTATCTTCAACTAAATATTTGCATAAATAACAGGGCTCATTTTCAAAATTACATTTTGAATGTAGAAATTTATTGGAGGGATATATCTCATTTAATATTTTAAATTGCATTTCTTTTACCTTGGGGAGAATAGGACATTTTAGATAAGCTGTTCTGAAATATTTAACAGTGTTTTTATCAAATGTATGCTCCAACTAATAAACTACATTTCCCAGTAACCCTCGGCGTCCGTGACGTATGAATCCTGAGACGATGCCGTTGCTAGGCGATGCGACGCTCTCTCACACACACACACCGCTTCCGAGTTCAGGTTCATCTCCGTTGCGTTTAACATATAAACAACCTCTCCTTTATAATGATTAGTTCTATATGAAAGCGTTGTGTTTGACTCTCACGCCTAAGAACATGTCATCAACGCAAGAAACTCTCTTCTCACTGGAACTGCTGATCGATTTCGTGCGCTTTGACGGTTCACGTGGCAATGTTTTGGATCCTGCGGTGGCTGTTCGCTTCTTAGATTTCCCCACACTGCTGATATACCAATCAAAACAAGAGCATCGTCCATCTAAATCAGGATACGCTGATCTGTGCCTATCACCCGAGGCTATATCTCAACCCGATGATGGAGAACATCGCGAGTATTTCTTCCATAAAGGCAAATCGTGTCTTTTTAAAATCAATTTGCACGCGTTACACGCTCATCTCACGAACACCCCTCTCTACGCAATGGTGTTGGATGTAAAAGATGAGATTGCTAAACTTATAGGAAGCTCGTTGATTTCGCTCGCTAAAGTGACGGAGAAAATCAAGCTGGATGTTGAAAAGCACGGTATTGGCAACCCATCCGCTTATGCAGAGAGACTGACCACCCCAATATGCAATCTAATGGGCAACAGCATAGGTGTTATTTCTCTGGCTTACAAGATTGTAAGTCTGGGAGCTCATTTAATTCCTCACATGCCAGAAAACAGAGTCTATGAAGTCGGTGTGAGCCGTGGAAAAGGAGGACAAGACCCCTCGGTGCATGCAAGAAGTCCTGAAAGAGATGAGATGCATTCTGTGAATGTCCTTTTGCAACAAATAAGCCTGGATGGACAATCTGCTGATATTGTGATATCAGAAGCAAAGCAGCCAGGGGTTCCAGCTTTTACTCAAACTGAAATGACAGAGAAAAAACAGAGGATCTCATGGTCTGAGGATGCACAGGAATACACCACATTCTGCCCTCCGCCTCTGGTTTACAGCTCCAGCGTGAAGAACCGACAGGAGAGGAAAAGTAATAATGATCAAAAACCTTTTGCACACAATCTACTACATGCCTTGTCATTTGATTGATAGTTGAAACTTTTTTAGCAAGTAAAAGGCCTTCAGCTCGTGCTCCAGATTTCAAATCTTTACTGATTTTTTACAGAATAACTTGCACATTGTTAGTAATATTTCAAGATGAGCATTTACTGGACTAAAGCAACTTAGGTTTACTTGATTATCCAGACATTATTTTTTTTGGAAAAAATCATGTGAGTATCAAATATGATCATCGGGCTTTTGAGGAACATTAATTAGTTCATCCCTCAATCCTCATTGTATTGCATTATATATTTTGATCATGTAAATATCATCTTACTAAGACAATATTGGAGATATAGAGTGACGACTGATATTTATATCATTTTATGTAAAGTAGTCTGTTACACTGGTATAAAGATCTCATCGATTTACATTACAAGCAACAGAACTTCATCTTTTTGGCTATATAAATATATCAGCATCTGCATCAAATTTCATATTTTTGCTCAATTAAACCTCCATATTTTCACCATATCATACTATATGAGCCATAAAGCCTGATGTATCGAATATGATACTCAACAAAAACACATACGCAAACTGTTTCATTCCAAAAAATAACTATTATTTCCTATTTCAGGCTTTACGGGGTTACTTGCAGCAATGGAGAGCCTTAATATTGAGGATCCAGAAGATGAAAATAATGAAGTGGAATCGTCTGACATGCGTGATTTTGCTGAGATAAAGGCGGACAGATCAATTAAGTTAACTTCAACTCCAAGGACGCAGCATAAAGAGACGGACTCAGCTCCATTTGGGGATGTTATCAGACAGTTACCACTTCTGAACGCTTTACTAGTTGAACTCTCACAGCTGAACGTCCAGACGGCGCAGCAGCAGCCCTTATCGGTTCATCCTAACCTTGCGTGCTTGTACACATCAGCACAGGAACCGTCAGACGCTAAACCCAAAGCTGAGAATCAGAACCCTAAACAGAGACTTGATCAATGCAAGATGAAAGCATTAAAGAGTGCAACTGGTGCGAAGAGAAACAAAGCAAAGTTGCAACCTAAGAAGACGCTTAAATACGGCTTGACAAACACGTTTCGTCTCAGACTCAAACTGGTCAAACAAGGTACCAAACGACACGAATGCATCGAATACCAGAATGCAAAACGGGACCAGCCATCATCATCTAACCTTAAACGTGTTCGCAAGGCAGTTAGCAGAGGTGTTCGTTTAGACGAAACTGTTGAAACACTAATTAGCAGTTTTGATATGCGCCCAACACCAATTCAAACTCCATCAAAATCGCAAACAAGACCAAGTATTGGAAAGCATATCACAAACGCACCAAATGAGGAATGTGGCCATTTGACTGAGAACGACAAAAAAGCTCCAAGTCAGGATTCAGACCAGCATTCAGCTTCATCTATTCATGATTCAAAGCTTAGCTTCCAGAGAGGAGATAGTAGAGCGAGTAGTAATGGCTTGAGTAACGGCTCCTACGGACAAGAAGAGTATCAGGACGACTTCACGAGCCTAAACACAACCGAGGGATACTCACCCGACCCGTTCAGCAGTCCAGAACCAAGCAGACGTAAAAGAAACAGCGGTTCGAGCACTTCAAGTTCCTCTCATCCAAGCAAAGGTCTACCTGTTCCTGTCAAAGCGGAGAACTCTCCACAACGTGCTTTTAAAAACACGCACGTCATCCGACCACGTCTTCAGACCTCCGCTCTGAGTCTGTCTTCAGATGAGGATGAGTTTGAGTCTGGAGGTCACAGGCCTGGATCGCAGAGCGCTGGACAAAAGGCTCCATCTGTGCGCAGGACATTTGGAAAATCGGAGAGCTTTGACAGTGACCCTGGTGATAAGGGCATGACATTTAGCCGGGTGTCAGAGGACTCCGATTTAGCCGCTAATAACCCGGTGCTAAAGTCCATCTCATCTTCAGAGCTTGAAGAGGAACGGGATGAACCGGGCTCTCAGGGACTGGACAAGAATTACCATCACATCTCAGAACTGGTGATCAGCAAACTTCCAGG